AGGCCACCGTGACGTTGCCCGGCACCCCCACCAGGAAGATCGCGGCGTAGAGCAGCAGTGGGGCCACACGGAGGGCTTCCGTGGCCTGGCAGGCGCCACTCGAGCAGTCCACGGGGACATCCGGAAGGTCCACGTATTCCCCGTACTCGTAGCTGAGAGAGTAGTTCTCCATCTGCGCCTCGATGCCTGGAAGGGGAGAGGAACAGCAGGGGGAAATTACGGGCCTGGGCACATGGCTTGAAGGGAGCCCAGCCCGAGCGTGAGCGCCTTGGAAGCTCAGATATTGCTGGGTGTGGTCCCAGCACCCTGGAGGCTGAGGCAGGAGGATCGTTGTGAGTTTGAGGCCAATCTGGGCGACTTAGTTCAAAGCCAACCTGAAATGCAATTGGTTTTGTTTGTTTGTTTTTTAAGACAGGGTCTTGCGATGCAGTTCAGGCTGCCCTTGAACCTGTGGTGATCCTCCTGCCTCAGTCTCCTACATGCTGGGATTGCAGGAGTGCACCACCAGGTCTGGTTTAGAAACTGCTGTGTCACCTACCAAGCATTACTCCCTGCGGCTTTAAACTCTGTATTGTGATCCACCAGCCCCCTGATGCTGATTCTGTTTTGTTAAACCCATTCCTCAAATGAGGCACAGAAGTTAGTAACTTACCTAAGATCACTCAGGTAAGCAGAAGGCAGCTGAGTTTCCAGCCACGAGTTGAGACACACACCTGAAATCCCAGATACTGGTGAGGCTGAGGCAGGACAGTCTTTGTGAATTCAAGGCCAGCCTAGGCTACATATCAAAAATGTGTCTCAAAAGAGAAAAAGCACTGAGTGTGTAGCTCAGTGGCTGGGTTCAATCTCCAGCACCACAGAAACAAAACAAAACCAAAAAAAAAGCTGAGTAGTCAAACCACAAGCCTCAAAGGCCACAAGGTTGAGTGCCCAGATCTGAGCCAGTGGCAGCAGCAGCGCCGGGACCCTGCTGTCCGGCCCCGCCCTACACAGTGAATCACCGTGTGGTTTCTTCCTTGGCTGACCTGGCTGATCCGGAAGTTGTGGTGGAGGAGGGCGCCCAGCGCTAGGGGGCCAGGGGCCATGGGCAGACCCCGCCCCGCCCTGCCCTGAGGCTCCACGTCCAGCACTGCCCAGAGCTCCTGCTGGAGACCGTGCAACAGGAAGGACCAGGAGGAAGTTGGGACACTGCCACCCGCTAGGTAGCAAGCAGAGGAGGCCTGGCCACGTCTGTGTGTTGGAGCGTGGCTCTCTGCTGTTTTCACCACTGGAGTAAAATATGCACAGCTCCGGCCAGGGATTTAGCTCAGTGGTGCCACCGCCTGCCTGGAAAGCACAAAGTCCCGAGTTCGATCCCCGGTACCAAAAAAATAAATAAATAAACATGCACAGCTCTTAGGCTCTCACAGCTGTGTGGCCTTCGGCAAGCCATCTCCCTCTCTGTGCTTTCTGGTTCCTGTAAAGGGAGTCCCAGTGGACCTGCTATAGAGGGTGCTGTCATATCAGCCTGAAGCTGGTTGTGGTGCACTCCTGTAATCTCAACACTCAGGAGGCAGAGGCAGGAGGGTCACCATGAGTTCAAGACTACCCTGGGCTACATAGTGAATGCAAGGCCAACAATGCAGCAAGACCCTGTCTCAAAAACAAGACCCAAATAATGGCAGACATCTATTGAACACCCATGCCGTGCCGGATATGGCCTTAACCTAGAAGCTGAGTGCAGTTCCATCCCTGGTTAGGGGACACGAGAGCTCTGGTTATCACCCGCATTTCCTTTCCCTGAACCTCGGTCCTGCCTGCATGGAGCCTTGCCCTGCTGGGCCCTCTGTGTGCTGGGCACCCAGGACAGGACAGGCCCACGTCCAGAGAGTGGACGAGGGGGGAGAACCTGAGGCAGCGAGACTGGACTGTCCTTCTGACCACTCTGTCCCAGACCTCCTGGCCCTCAATGGCCGCACTGGAACTCCTGCCCTGAGGACCCCGGGAAGGGGTCTCTGGAGCTGAGCCGGAGACCCCTTGCCTGTGACCAGCGAGCCACTGCTCAGCGAAGACACTCACAGGCCGGTCACCAGCCGCCCCGGCCAGGGGCACCCAGACATTCACCCCAGCACTATGGCGTACTCACTCGGCTGGGTCTACACCTTGAAAGTGGGTAAATAAACCACAGCAAGAATGCTGGTGGATTCCATGGTCTGGTGTTGGGAAAGAACCGGGCATGCGAAAAACAGTACTGGACAATTCCATTCAGAGCAATCTCAAAAACAAGCAAAGGAGGGCCGGGGACTTAGCTCAGTGGTTCCACCACCTGCCTCGCAAGTGCAAGGTCTCGAAGTTTGAAGCCTGGTACAAAACAAAACAAAGGAGCTGGGTCCACTGGCAAACCTGTAGTCTTAACTACTTAGGAGGCTGAGGCAGGAGGATCCCTGGAGCATAAGAGTTCAGGGCCAGCCTGCATCACAGCAGGACCCTGTGTCAAAATAAAACAAAACAAAAAAAGAGACACAAACAAGCAAAGCTACTCTACATAGCACCAGGGATGGGAATGGGGTTCATGCTAGGGTTGGAGACATGGGCGCATTCAGCTTAGAGTCACAGGGCCAGGTGTGGCGCAGGACTGCAGCGCTTGCCTAGCGTACATGGGGCCTGAGTTCCAGCCCAGCAAACAAAAGTCACAGCGCCGCTGGTTGTACGAATGCCCGGCTCTGTGTGGCAGCTGAGCGCCAGCGGTCAGCCGAGATCCTCCAGGCATCTCCTGAAGGCCACTGGCAGGGCAGGAGGGTCGCTCACCAAGCAGGCTGCTGCCCTTTGACAGATTCCCAGCCAGCTGCAAGAATCCCCTCAGGAGCTGTCATCCCAGCACTTGGGAGGCTGAGGCAGGAGGATTGCCATAGGTTCCAGGCCAGCCTGGGCTACAGTGAGTTCAAGGTCAGCCTGAACTATAGAGAGAACCTGTCTCAAAAAACAAACGAAAGAGGCCTAGATTATGAGAACTCGCTTCCTTCCTTACCGCGTCTTCTAAGCGGGTCCCCAGCTTGGCCAAATGTCACTTGGGAGCACTGTCCGGGCCACAGGCAGGACCCTGTGACCTGGCGTCTCGGCCCACCCCTGGCTGGAGGATTCCAGGAAATGAGCTGCATTCTCCACCACCCCATGCCCCACAAACCTTCCTGACTGAGAAAACCTGGAGAGGCCTCCTCCCAGCCCAGGGTGTGCTTGTCCTGAGTTCTTCCTGTGACTCACACTTTCCCAAATGACAGGGTTGCAGCAGGGCTGGAGAGGGCTTAGGTGGATGAAGAGCTGACTGTGTCCCACACCCTTGCCTCTGTGTCCTTGTCCTCTGCTTCCGAGTGTGTGTGTGTGTGTGTGTGTGTGTGTGTGTGTGTGTGTGGAGGTCTTGGCCAGGTTCGGATTTACACAGGCCCCATCCTGATGCAGACCTGGGGAAGCCACAAACTGGGCCTCCTTTTTCCACCCCCGTAGGCTGGGTGTGGTTGTGCACGCCTATAATCCCAGCTCTCGGAGGCTGAGGCAGGAGGATCGCCAAGTTTGATGCCAGCCTGGGCTACATAGTGAGTTCAACAGAGACTGGAATATGCTTACAGTGCACTCTCACACACAACACAGGTTTAGAAAGAGGAAGTGGCTGTAACCCCAAGATCAGAAACACTGTCCTCAGCAGTCCTGCAGGGTTATGTTGGGAGTTGGGGCATATATTTATGCACCTGCTGTCGTTTAGGGAATAAAAACACGAACTTGCAGGAAGTCATTTCTGAGTCAAAAGACTGGGACCCACCCTATGACCCAGATGTCTCCCGTCCCCTCTCTGGGGGACACTGTCTGGGTGGAGCCTGGCCCCCAGGGCGACCAACGCTCTCCCCTCACATCTGCCACCCCAGGTGCCCGGGCGGAGGCAGGCAGCTGTGCTGTGCAGGCTCCGGCCGTCTGATCCTGACGCCCGCCGGAGCTTTTCTGGGGTCCCCGGAGCGGGTGGCTTCTCCCTGAGGGGTCTGGGTGTGCGGGGGCCCAAGAACAGGGTCCCACGGGCCAGCCGTTCCTTCTGGAGGAAAGCTGAGCATGACAACATCGCAGAAGGGCGTCACGCAGACCGTGTGATGTTGCCATTTTTGGAGATCAAAAGTAAATCACTTTTTGGCAAACCCACAGAGACAAAATGTGGATTAGCAACTCCCAGGGGCAGAGGAAGTAGGGGAGGAGGAGCCAGTGCTAGAAGTATAAGGTCACTTTGGGGAGTAACAAAATGTTCTGGAACTAAATAGCTAACTAGTGAATGTTTGCACAACTCAGTAAATGTACCAAGCGCTGCTTACAATAAACGTTAAGATGCGTGCAGGGTGTGGGGAGGCGCACCTGCAATCCCAGGACTCTGGGGGGTTGAGGCAGGAGGGTGGGAGTTTGAGCCTAGCCTGGCAAAATTACCAACTTAGTGAGACCCTGTCATAAAATTAAAATTTAAGGGCCGGGGATTTGGCTCAGTGTC